ATAACAATTTTTTTTGCAAAATTGTATTTTCATTAAAAACTCAAGTGTAAGCAATACAGTCCAAGATTTGCTCTAGGTTATCTTAGTTGTTTTACTGGGAAATAGAAATAGTAATACAACAAGATGGGGAACATAGATTTTGTTGTTGTTTAGAAAGAATTTGACTTAAAATGGACTGAAGAAATAAAATGACAGTCCTTTGTATGCTTATAAAATAATAGCAAAATCCAACTGTTATTTTTTGTCTTTTTCAAAACGCCATTGTGTAAAGGTTCAGTCACATTTAGTGATAGTGCTGTGAGCTACCACTTGGTAGAATCTGACTAGTGTTTGGGCTAGACTTCCAGACTCTACATGGAACAGTTGGGGCAGCAGAAATATCTGTGTTGAGATCCCATTTTGCCTATTCCTGGGGACTCTGATGTGGTGACACTGTAGCAGGAAGGGAAGAAACCCCAAATACTTAAACTTGAAGGACGTTTGGCATAAAACAGTGCAAGCAGCAGTGTGTGTGTATACACACATATTTGAGATATATATATATATATATAATGTACACATACATGTATGTGAGAGAGAGAGAGAGAGAGAGAGAGAGAGAGAGAGAGAGAGAGAGCGAGAGCTTGCTGCTTCCTCTCAGAAGGGCTCTTTCAAACTAACCAGTAATTATCAATGGGCTGTGTCCTTAGCAAAACTCTTCAGATGGGTGTGAATGATAGGCTCTAAGCAATTAGATTGTGGAGAGGACTCTAAAACTGTTTTTCTGAGGATTAGTGAAAAAATTAATATTACCTACTGTCTAAAACTTAACTAGATGTCTTATGGAATTAGCAGAGGTGATTTGTTTGCATGTTTTTTTTTCTTGGTGGAAGAATGATAAAATTAAGTCCTGTTAATCAAATGTATTTATTGTTTAAATGAAAATTCAGTTAGTCATCTAGAGATCACTTATTTTTCTCTATCAAATTCTTTTCTCCTAAGGGAGAATATTAATTATGTCAAATGTAAGTAAGCATTTACTTATTTATAAATAAGGATTACTTATTTGGGCTTAGCAAAATTGTGACTAGCTTTTTCATTTTCGTGTTTTACTTGCGAGCCTTTTTTCAAATGTCAAATTAAATGAATTAAAGGTCAATATGTGCTGTTAACATACTACGTATTATACATTTAAATAATTTAATAACTTATATAGAAATAATAGCATACCTATTATTTTGAAAAATTGCTTTTAGTGGAAAAGAAAGGCCATATTCTCATTGTTTGAAAACAGCCTTTCATCTGTTGCTCTGAGGCCTGGATTTTGGGTGTTGTATCCTGATGAAAGTGTGATAAATGTGATTACTTTGTCAAAGAGAATTTTGAGATGTCTTCTAGGAAGAAAATTGAAGTACATAGATAGTAATGTGTGACAGGAGAGGAAAGGAGAGCGGTTATTTATGGCTATAGGATGTTAGTTTCAAAATGGCCATGAGCTTTTTTTGACCTACTTAAGTGCTGCAAGGGTGATACTGTCAGAATTGGATAGGGGTCTATATTGGGTTCCCAGGAAGTCAGTCACAAAGATGGTCCTATTTAAAACTAATTGCTTTATGTCTAATGTGCTATGCCTACTGGCTGAAGTATTGTTAATTTTAACTTATGTTTCCTTTTTAGAACTCACTTAAAACCCATGTTAATGATTCTGAGATACCCAAATAAGTAATTTGCTTTTTCTAATTTGATTTTGTTCAGATTAAAATTCTCATTTTATATTTAACTTGTTGCTGATTTTGTAGCACGCACGTGCACACGTGTGTGTGTGTGTGTGTGGATGTGTGTAGAAAACTTTCATTGTTTGCATTTAATTAAGAATGCAAGATGTTTTACAGATATTGTTCATTGTTACTGATGAAAATATTGACTTAAAAACAATTGAGATATGAATTGACAACCAGTTTCTTATAAAATCTGACATCCATGGAATATTAATACATAGCAAATAATTTCCTTTAGGGGGTGGGAAAAAAATTCAAGGGCTTCAACTGTAAGATGTGTGCTCACTAACAGCTGTTTCCCATAATAGGAGCAATTTGCATGCAAAATGGGGAAAATGAATTATACAAAAGGGTGTACAGAGGAACAGCTATAACTTCTCTGGCATATGAGGCAGCCCACAAAATAAACTTCCTTCAGATGACATTGGTATGATTAATCGCAGGCAACCTGGACACTGAAACTGCGGTTCTGAAAGGGGACTCTGCAGGCTGGAAATGTTGTGGGTGTGACACTAACCTTGCTGGAGTTAGTGGAAAGCTGCTCCCTGCATTTAGTTACATCCGCCTCCCTGCCACCTTCCAGGATATTTGAATATTCATGAATGATTGGCAAGTGGTCAGTAGATGCAAGACTGAAGCCATTCTGAGTTCTTTTGCCTTTCATTTTTTTATTTAAATTATAAAGACTTAGAAGGTTAGTGAGATGATTTATGCCTTAAATACTTCTTTGGTCAGTTAGGGAAAATTTTCATAAGGTGGGCTAATAAAAGAGATTGTCTAATGTGAAAATTCTACCTTCAGTACATCTCTTTGTACCCACATGTGTGCTTGTGGAATGTCTGATCAATAGTCATGTGCATTTTTTTAAAGGTTTATTTCACTTGAAAAGCAGAATGAAAGGGACAATGAAACAAATCTGTGTGTTGTTGGTTCACTCCCCGAAATGGCCGTGATCCATATGGGCTTTTATTTTGGTTGGGTCTGGACCAGTCTACATCAGGAAACTGGAACTCCTTCTGCATTTCTCACATGGGTGGCAGGAGTTTAAGTACTTGTACAGTCTGCTGCTGCCTTCCCAGGTGCATTTATGGGAAGCTAGATTGGAAGTGGACCAACAGCCGTGGTTTTAACGGGCACTCTGAAATGGGATGTTGGCATGCAGGTAGTAGCTTAATGTACTGTGCTGCATCTTTGGTTCTGTGTATATTATGAACATCATTTTTCTGTAAGAGAATACCTCACATAAATTCAGTCTTGTGTCACTTAACAACAGGGATACCATGCCTGAGAAATGTACCATTAAGGCAATTGTATGTGTGAACATTGTAGAGTGTTCTTTCACACACCTGGATGGTGTGGTCTACTTCTCACCTAGACTGTGTGGTATATGCTGTTACATATATAGTCATTCGTTGATGGAAATGCTGTAATCAAGTGAATAACGACCTTGCCCCACATGCATTCTCCTTACGTGTTGACAGCCATGCTTATAAATGTAGGTGCTGTTTCCTCCCTGTTGAGAGAAAAAGAAATGAGGCTGCCCAGAGAATGCTCAGTCCTCAGAATTGAGTCTTCTAATGCAAATTAAAGGCTGTCTACTTCTACTTGAAAAGGTTACATGGCAATTGGGTGTTCCGAGGCTCTATTTCCTGGGTTCTGTGAGTCTCGGAGAAGTTACATGTGCCAGGCTCGTTGCTGTATTGTTAATGCATGCCACAGTCTAAGCAGTTGAGGCAACCATAATAAAATACCACATGTGTTAATTTTTCATTGGTGTGCCAGCATAGTAAAGTTCTGGGAGGCTTCCATTTGGGATTGAAGATTGCCATATTTTCACCATGTCCTCACATGGTGGAAGGTGCAAGAGAGCTCATATTAGCCTCCACAACAGGGGTGCCAAGCTCATCGATGAGAGCTGTACCCTCATATCCTAATCACCACACAAAATATCAAGGGTGAGGACTTCAGCATAAGAACTTTCGGGGAACACAAACAGTATCTTCTGTAGTTTCCCTGTTAAAGTGAACAAAGCCTGGAAGGGGAAGACAAGGTTCAAAATGGTGTGGTCTCAGCCCTTGACTTTGTTTGTCTCCATAAGGTGAATGTTCTTTCTGTCCTTGAGGAGTGAAAATAAATTAACATTTGCAATTCCTGAATTGTATGATCAAAAAGGGCCTCAGCTGAGCGTCAAAGTAGTGATTTTAGAAGTTAATACTTGGGGAGGTTTAGAAAGGCATGTGAAGAAGTCCAGATTTGAATTAGCAGGTGATTCTAAGAATAGCTCCACAGTATGATGCAGGGGATGTTGAGAGGACTGGGCCTATGCTGAGTATTTGGGGGAACCAGTGCATTTGAATGGCACAGGGGTTTGGCAGTTGACAAAGTGAAGGTCAATGGGAAAGTAAGCTGTAACTACTGAAAAAGAGGTCCTATGCATGCAGGATATATGGCCTTGATATTTATTTTACTTTGGGATTTTGCCAAATACAGCCTTAATCAAAATAATTTCCTTTGGCATATGAATGATTGTGGCAGAATCAGAGTTTTAGTAGCTGAAATCCTGTGTAGCATCTTAGGGCTGCCTAAGAAGTTGCCTAGCAGTCTTATTTCCTTCTAAATTCCTACGAAAAACAAAAGGCTTTTAAAAAGTATTCTTTGTACATGATTACATTTTAAATGTTTGGATGTAGACCAGTATTTCAATCAGCATTCTCTTTTGGGAAGGAAGAGTGGTAATGAAGCTTAATGGGCATCAGTCACATAAAGAGACTCTGGGTTTGGGATTTTCTGAGAAAGGCCAGTGACACAGAGGTCAGGATGTATCAAACAAGGGAAGTGGTTAGATGGGAGAGTTATTTGCATGAAATACTAAACTTAGCACATTTGTTAGGAAACCTAGAGGTTTTTGTTGTTGTTTTTTTTCATCTTTAGAAGCTAAGTTCAGTTTTTCTAAAGATGTACAATGGGTGATAACCACTGAAGTTTACTCATTAATGATCATAGTTGACTGGAATAAGCTCTCCACCAAGATTTGATAAGTAACTTTCATAATCACTTAACATTCGAAAAGCTGATCTAGATTGTGGAGAAGAAATAAAAGGTAAATGAGATGCTAACCTTGGGGGGTTAGTAAAGGGCTATGAAAATTTGGGGCGACCTGGGTGGTAAAATGGTTTTTGTAGAGAAGAATATGTTTATGCTTATTATTCTCATCTTACCTGTTTTCTTTTTTTAATGTTGCAGTGTGCAAAGATCCTCCTTACAAAGTAGAAGAATCTGGGTATGCTGGTTTCATTTTGCCAATTGAGGTCTATTTTAAAAACAAGGTATGTAATTATCACCCACTAATATTTCAGTAATGGATCCATTAACCAAACAATGTTTAAGAGCATTTGACTCATAAACACTTCTATCACGAGGTGATTTTAAAAGCTAAATTTTTCTTCTAAGAATTCTTATAATTGTTACTCATAATAATGGTGGAATTGGCCAGAAAAAAGATGACCTCAATGAAATTGAGTTAAATTCTTTAAATATTTAGTAGCTATTCTTTTCAAGAGAAAAGTGGTTACCATTTTGAAAAAAGATTAGGAAATGTTTATAAGAAAAATATACAAAGTTTCTTAGTGAAATTTCTCTTTTCTCATTTTGTGTTTCTAATATATCTCAGACTTTAAAAAACAACCTTTATCTTTAACTGATATACACATGACACATGCACAGTTATTTTCAACTCGAGATATTATAGACTCAAACCTGTTTTCAACAGTAAATGTGTGAAGAACACAAACTTGAGAAATTGTTCAGTATCTGTGGAGCTACCTTATTTGTAGTACCTTAAAGAAAGGAAGAGAGAGAGAGAGAGAGAGATTGAGAGAGATTGATTTACTCCTAAGTGTTTCAAGAGCTAAGGCTGGGCCAAGCTGAAGCCAGTACCCAGGAACTCCATTCTGGCTTCCCATATGGGCAGCAGGTGCTCGTGTATGTGGACTGTGGTAAGCTGCTGTCCTTGGCACATGAGCAGGAAACTAGACCTGAAGCAGAGCAGCTATGACTTGAACCAGGAAGCAGTGACTTCACCTGCTTCTTCAAATGCTGCCTGCTGCCCCCACCCCTGGCTTTTTCAACTTAAAAAAAAAAAAGGTGTGGATGTCAATTTAGCAAAGATCTCATTAATGTTAAGAGATTATCTACTTTATTTTGATCTATAGTAAAAACCATTCTGTAAAGTAGCAATGCGTGGATGACTGGCTGCATTTATTTTTCATGGTTTTTGTTTGTGAGCCGATGTGCTTGTTCATTGCATTCTAGCTGTTTCAACTTCTCACAGACCTGCTGCCCACATGGATTGGCTTTTCTTAGATTTTGACAGGAAATCATTTCTACATTAAATATTTTAGTGCTTACTCTGTCCTTAACTTTCAAGAAGTTGATACTGTTATTCCAGCTTTACAGGAAAGGAAAGTGAGTCATGTAAAAGTTGAGTAGATTATCTAAGATGTGAAACAGAAAATAGTAATTCCAGTAATTCTTGATCTGGATCTTTAGTCATTGGTTATCCTCTTCTGAGCCTTAGAAGCAGTAACTTTGCTGGAATAATGACTGTCTTTCTCTTATTGGCAATACTACTGAGAATCCTTCACATATTTTGATCACGTCAAAATTCATGGGGCTGCATTTATATCTACTCATGATCTATGCCTTTATATTGATACATTGATTTGTTTTTGCTGTAAGCTGAATTTCATGTGAGTATATTGGTTTTGCATTTTTTGTTACATTAAAAAAATTGAGACATAATTCATATACATTTTCTGGACTATCAATTTATTCATAATAAAAAATTACTTTTTAAAAAAGATTTATTTTTATTATTTTTTATTGGAAAGGCGGATATACAGAGAGGAGAGACAGAGAGGAAGATCTTTCAAGCACCATTTATTAGGGCAATAATTACTTTTACTGGTTCAGAGAACCATTGGATTTCTGACAATATCATAATAGTTATGGAGTCCCAAAGCATTAATACCAATAAGATTATAAAAGGGCTATCCATATGGTGCATGCTTTGTTGCAGGCATTTCTTTTAAGAATTTCACTACACTTGACTACTTATTTTTTGCATCTTTTAGTATTATTATTTTCCATAATACAGTTTTGTAGGAACTTCCTCCTCCATTTCCCCTTCCTCCTTCGCTATTTTTTCCCTCAACCATTTTACATCGTATTACAATAATATAGTTCATAAGTCATAAGAAATTTAAAAATCCACAAAAAATGAATAAAATTTAAATCACTAGAGTCCTATACCAATATCTATCTGTAAGTATAGCTTCTCATTTTTGATTGTTGAACACAAACATACTTTATCATGGTATTTCAGTTGTGGTATCTGACATAATCTGTACTCTGAATTGGAAGTAGTGTATTAGGACATTCTGTTTCATATTTTAAGAATAATTTAATGCATAATTCTGGTTTTTGTTTTGTTTTGTAAAACATTTAGTTTTTTTAAGATTTTTATTTTTATTGGAAAGTCAGATATACAGAGAGGAGGAGAGACAGAGAGGAAGATCTTCCATTCAGTGATTTACTTCCCAAGTGGCCGCAAAGCTCAGAGCTGTGCCAATCCGAAACCAGGAGTCCGGAGCTGCTTCGGGGTCTCCCAAACATGTGCAGGGTCCAAAGGCTTTGTGCTGTACTCAACTGCTTTCCCAGGCCACATACAGGGAGCTAGATAGAAAGCAGGGTGGCTGGTATTAAAACAGGCGCTATATGGGAACCCAGCATGTGCAAGGTGAGGACTGTAGCTGTTTGGCTACTGTGCTGGGCCCCAAAACACTTAATTTCTAATCTTTTCCTTGCCTTTTAATCTTCTGCTTGATGGGTAAATGTATTTTTAAAAGTAAACTTAGCTGCTTAAAAAATTGATTTATATATCATGAAATTCAAATCACCTTTTGAAAGTCTGTAACACAGAGCAAAGTTTTAGTGCAATTTTTATGTGCAATTATCACTAATTTCATGTTTTTATCCTTTTGCACATTAAGGAATGATGTATCTATTAGTATTCACTGCTCATTGAATCTCCCACGGCCTGAGATCCATTAATGCACTTCCTTTGTTTATAGATTCTAATATTCTACACATTTCATTTAAGTAGAATAATATAATCTATAATCCTTTATTTTTAATATTGTTCACTTAGTATGACATTTTCAAGATGCAAATTATAGAATATGTTGATATTTTTCTAGCTGAATAAATATCAATTGTAGTTATGCTGCAGTCTATGAATTTTAAGCCAATAGGCACTTGACTTGGTTCAGTTTTTGATTAGTATGAATAATGCTGCTAGATATTAACTCTTTTTTGTAGATGAATACTTTCAAATGTCCCAGGATTATATCTAGCTGGAATTGTTTGCTCATACTGCAATTTAATGACTGAAGTTTTGAGAAGCTATTAAATGATTTTCCAAAATAACTGTACTATTTTCTTTTCCCATTGGCCAAGTTTGATTCTTTCAATTTCTCTTAAAGCTGCTACTTTCCTTTTAAAATACAGTGCCTTTAAACAGAAATATACCTGCTTAAAAATAAATCCATGGATTAGGATTAAAGAGCAATAATGGAGAGAGTTGCTCTTGTGACTCTTAAGACGTCATTCACTTGTGAGGAATTTTAGTTTCTTAAAATATGAGCGAAGAATGATGTAAGTGGGGTTAGACGTTCAACATAGCGGTTAAGTTGCTTGTATCCTGTGTCCACCTCTGGCTCAGTGTCCACCTCTGGCTCCTCTAACTCTAGCTTGCTGCTAGGGGGACCCTGGGAGGCAGTGATGATGGCTGAAGTTCCTACTACCAGTGTGGGAGCTCTGGATTGAGATCTTGGCTCCAAACATTAGGGTCCAATTTCACCTACTGTAGGCATTTTTGGGGAGTGAACCAACAAGTTAGAGTGCTCTCTACCTGTGACTCTGTATGTGTGTATGCACTTGTATATAACTTTTGTATATATGTATTTTTTTCTCCATGCCTCACTGCTTATAATGTGAATAAAAAATAAGAAATAGAAAAAGGCAAATGAGATGGAAAGCAGTTCTTCCTTTGTGACCATTACAAAGTAGATACTTAGACTGAACACTGTTAAGTGTTTCTATTTAATATCCCAATTAGCATTTTTTTAAGTTTTAGGTTTCATTTAAGTTTCATGGTTAATAATATTTGCTGTTTTTACAGGTGTACCATAAGATGTATATGTTTCACTGTTGGTAATATGAAAAATATTCCTAATTAGCTCTATATGAATATGTAGGTCGGTAATGGTGACTTTCATACTGTGTAGGTTGATATGACAACATGAATAAATCTCAAAAAATGGCGAGTTAAAAGTTGCATAAGCATATGAGAACACTTCAAAAAGTCATGGAAATGCTTATTATGAAAGAACTATGCATAAATTTCATGTTTATGCCAAAATGAGCTTATCCTTTTACTCTACTTTCATGAAGTATTTGAAGACCTCTCATATTAGCTATGATATCATAGGTACATGTTTTTATAAATGACTGAATAAGGACATGTTTTTGGGAAGAACATATGTAGTGTAAGAGCATATACCGGAATCACAACAATGGAAATTGTGGCGTTGGTGAAAATCCTTATATTCACATGCATGGATTTCAATTTTCCATGCCAAAATAAACTTACCTTTGATTATGTTGCTTGAATTTTTTTCTTTAAAAAAATGGAAAGTGGATTTGTTGGAAGTGTTAACATTGGTTTAATCTCAATGCAGGAGAAGAATTTTTCTCCAACTGAATTTCTGAGCTTGATGTATCTTCTTGCTTTTTTTTTTTTTAGTTTTACTTTTTTTATAATAACAGTTATCACAATTTGTCATCATAGCACATTTTTAAAATATGTAATACTTTATTGGTGAATATAAGGTACAATGCAGATCTCTAGAGTTCATTCATGTTATTAAATTGAAGTTTAATGTCTGTTGATTAGTAACTGCCCTGAGCCCCAAGTAACCAATAATCTTGTCTTTGATGTTTATGAGTTTGATTGTTTTCGATACCTCATGTGAATGGAATTGTGCATTCTTATCTTTGTGTGTCTTGTTTTTGCCAAACATCATGACCTCATTGTGCAGGTACATAGATGCTTTTTCTCTTCTTACGGAAATAACCCTTGGTAAAAATTTAATAGCTTTAGGCTATTGTTCATCTTTATTGTTCTTACCACTTTGCAGATCCCTTTAATACTCAGCTCTCTTCAAGAGTAACTATCAATTCTTTACTGGTTTATGAAAGAGTGTTTGCCCAAAGTTTCCTGGAGAATAAGAAAAAGTAGCCAGAAGGATTCCAGCTGATATTGGCAGGTCCAGGGCTGTATTTTAGGGGTGTCACCTAAACTTGGTCTCATCCCCATCCTCACAATTTCTCTACTTCTCGGATGAAATTCTTTTTGGTTTGGCTCCTTTAATTAAGCTGGCAGTCAGAAGGGCCTGTGAATACCAGTGGTTTCCTTGAGTTTCATGAATGTTTATTCTGTCTTATTTTGTATTTGTGCCAAACAGATCAAGCCTATGTGTGAGAGCCATGTGTGTTTCCGAAGATCAATACCAATAGGCACACTGAAACGTAATTGATTGTGGCACTTCAGTTTGAAATGGTCCCATTGCTCTCTCTTTCAGTCTGTTTTCAGAATAAGTACATGAATAAGTGTCAAGGTTTGAGGCTTCCCAGAGTGAGAGAGCTAATTTGATGTTGCCAAAAGCAGATTTGCAACCCTAGGAGATGTATTAGTTTTAGATATAGAACAAAATACTTTATTGTTTGTTCCCCGAAGAATCCTCTTTTTTGAGAGGTATACATTGACATAATGTTGATTTTTTTCCCCTTTTAAGAGAATGTACTCTGTTGATCAGAATGTAAACTTGTCAGTACATTTTCTTTAGTAAAAGTAAAACCTGCTATGAAAGAAAATTGTCCTCTGGATTCATAGAGATTCACATTTTGCCATTCTTAGAGTTACTTTTATTGAAAGAAGGAATTAAATTTTTTATTTTAAACTATTGCCATCAATAAAATGATGGTGCCATTAGTGCATTCTTTTAATACTGATGATTAATTGTATTCAAGAGTGTTTTCTTTAAAAAGTATCAGTACTATGTGTTCTCCTTAGTAAAAGTGAATGGAATAAAACTTGGGAGTTTTATTTTATCAACTCTGTTTAATGATTATTAACCATTTGATATAGCATTTCCAGATCTACTTAATGCATTTGCATAGATAAAATTTATATTTAGATAGAATTTGGCAGGGACATGGTATATCATATGTTAACATTTTCTGTGACTCACCTTTAGTTCACTGAGCAATATAACTTTCCAATCAGCAATTCAACAGTAATTACAAACCATTCTTAATTTTTGCTTTGTAAACAATGCCACCTTGAGCATTTTATAAACTATATGTTGATACCCATATTTGAATATATTTTAATGAAAGAAATTCTTAAAATTACTAGATCACATATTATGTGCATTTAGTATGTGATGGATATCACTAAAATGTCTGTAAGAGAAGACCTTACTAATTTGCATTCCCAATGACATGGGAGAATACTATCCTCCTTTTTAATTCTAGAGTTGTATTGACTGTTTTGTAATTTAGAGGAGAGAGAGGTAAGTAAAAGGTAATCATAATTCACTGTGATAATTACATTAATAAAGAAATAGTATGAGAGGGGCTGTTTCGTTTAGCTTGGGTTGGAGAGTCAGCAAGACTCCCAAGGAGTTGATGCTTTAGCTAAGTCTTGAATAGTGAGTTTTCACTAACCAGTTTATACAGAGAAGGATAATGCTGGGAGAAAGATATTTTAGGCCTGGGGACAGGTCAAAGACAGGAACCAGAAATTTCCATCTGTATCTACCACAGAGGTTGGTAAGAACCTAAGCATATTTTTTCATCTGCTGTGTCCTAGGGTGCATTGGCAGGAAGCTGGGTCAGAAGTGGCATATCTGGGACCAGCGCTGGCATTCCAATATCGGATGTGGATGTCTCAAATGGCAGCTTATTCTATTACACTACAATGTTCCCTCACCTATAGAATCTTCCAGACTTATCAGATTATTGCAATGATGTGGTATTATAGAAAATGATGAGTCTTTAAAACTTTTGTGTTAATGGAAAGACATAGCTTTTGTATCTGTAAAAATATCCTCTTGACTTTATGAGAAGTAGAATGAAGTGTGTTCACAAATGGCAAGACAAGGTAAGGACTGGTCAAGTTCTGAGCAGCAATACACTTGGAAGAATTCCTATGGAGAAATTTAACAAGTCACACTGGGAAAAATTCGTGTGGGGAAAGGAAAAGTTGGGCTTGATTTTTTTGCTTGTTAAACTTGGAAAGCAGTTAGGATTTTTGTTTGCCAACTAGTATAGAGGAAAAGACAGATGAAGATAACTGGTTTATAATAATGTGTGCGAATTTTGTGTTGCTGGGGGTCAACATATGGAGAACATGCATATGACAATCAAGTGAGAGTTGGATTGGGGATACGGAGAGGGGAATCACTTTCTTCTTGGTAGAAGTGGCCTCCTGTGACTGAATGCCATCTCCCTGGGAATCTGCAGAAAGAAAGAGGACAATAAAGGGTCAGTGAAGAAAGAGAAGCCTGGGAAGAGGGCTCAGAAGAAAGGTCCAGTAAAATATGAGGAAAACAAGAAGTGAATGGCATCCATATGGAAATAGGGGGAATTGGAAAGGGATTTGGTTTCATGCCAGGATGTAGCAGAAGTGAAGGAAATGAGGGAAGACTTCCTTATGACTTAGGGAAGTTTGTGTAAGGAGGTGGAAGAAAGGGATTTGTGTTAGGTAAGCCTCATTCTGATAATTTCAGGTGCTAAGACATTTGAATAAAAATAATTGTATTCTGACCTCTTGGTTTCATCCAACAGGGCTAGTGCTTGTCTAAACCACAGGAGAGCTGTAAGAATTAAATGAAATGAATATTAAAGTACATATTAGTTTCTGTTACGATCCTTTGGATTATTAAAAAGTAGTTTGAAGAAAGAGGTAAATGTTCACTCAACTAAAGTGATAGCTTGAGAGATGAACCTTGGAATTATGGAATTCTAAGCATTGTGTTCTTTTAAGAAAGATGTTGTTTTGTAGTCTTTCTTCAGTAAAAGGCTATCCTTAATTCATCTCATGAATCTTAATCTTATTTCTATATTCAGGCATTAAACCAGTTGTTGAGAATGCAATGGTGATTCAAACATCACTCCTAGTGCCAATAGTCTTATGATCTAGTGGAGCAAATGTAGATATTAAGACACTTATTGTAAGATAATGCAAGGATAGGAGGGAGATATATGCAGAGCAGAGGAAAGATGGTGAAGAGTTGGAAGTAGAATTCAGGCAAAGCCTCCCCAAAGTTAAATCCAATTGGAAAATGAGGAGAATTCATTCTGAGAGTACAAGGTGGAAAAGTGGAAGTGTAGGCAATAAATATAAAGCAAAAACAAAGTTCAGAGTTAGCTAAGAACACAGTGGAGAGGCACAAACAGCAACATATTACAGAACATCAGATAGGGGAGAGCCTGGAGGGATAAGAAACCAGGAGCCAGAGGGATAAGAAACCACGAGGCTTTCTGCTAGCGTTTAAGTGAGGATAGATGTTTGTCCTCATGGTCATTAGAGACTGTTGAAAATTTAACGGGAAGTGTAGATTGTCTAGATTTTATTTCTTAGACATAATTCTGAGACCTGAATGGAAGAGGCTGGCTCAAGAAGTATTCCTGAGGACATTGACAGCTTTTGTTGATACATGCAGAGAGTCATGTGGGAAGAGGAGGACATTTGTAGGCTTCAAGTTGGGTGGCTGTGTTTGGTTGTTTCATCCCACGTGCAAGATTGTGGGAAGAGGATGAGTTTATACTGTTTGGTTTTTCCCTAACACAAGGAAAGTCAAGTATGTTAGATATTTTTGTTTTGTTTTGTAAATAATTCCATGATGATTTCTTGCAGTATTGCTTTGACACCATAGCTGTTTCATGTCTAAGTTGTTTCTTTTCTTTATGAGGAGTAAAATTTGCTCTTAATTTTTCATTTTATGGCTAAGTCTTTTCTATTTTCATTTTTTTTAATTTTCCAGGAAGAACCTAAGAAAGTTCGCTTTGATTATGACTTATTCTTGCATCTTGAAGGCCATCCACCCGTGAATCACCTCCGCTGTGAAAAGCTAACTTTCAACAACCCCACAGAGGATTTTAGAAGAAAGTTGCTGAAGGCAGGAGGGGTAGGTGACATTCTTTTGCAAGAAGCTTTATTATAAAGAAAACTAGTTGCTACTGTGCTAAGAAATATTAATGTTTTGGGAGGAGCAGAGGACATAAAGTACCTTAATATGGATTCATGGTTCAATATGGATAGGTAGGCAAACAATAATATTTCATGAAGGCATGAATCAGTACACTTTATTGGTTAGAATGGACTTAAGAAAAGCTTATTTTGACAGAAGTCAAAGCAAACAAGCAATAAGCAATAATCCTCAGTTAAGAAAAGCCCAGTGTTATGGACTTTTTCCCTTTTAAAGTGGTAAGGTATAAAATTAGCAAAATGAACTTTTTTATTTTTCAGTTTTTCAGTTTTTAACAGATTCAGTAAGGATATAGAGAATACCTTTATTATTTTACAATGCTAAGGATATAATGAATTTCTCACCATCCCTCCCTCCCCCTCTCTCTTCTCATTTATTCATCTATGAGATAATATTTTGTATTTACATCATAGTTAAGGGCTTAATGCTTCACAAAATAAAAATTTTAACAAGTAGCACATTTTAATGAAGAGAAATACATCATCTCCATGAGGTGGGCATCCCAGGGTAGTAGAACAAGTATTCAGCTGCATGCAGACTGGTGTTGTTATGAATATTGGTATGAATTCCTAATTTCTCTTCTCCCTTCCCTGACTGGGACATTGTTGGGTGAGTCATCCAGTGTAGAGAGTCCATTTCCTATCTGCAGAGAACAGAGGAGAAAGGAGGCAACAGCTCATGCCTCTCTGATCATTTAGCCATGAGCTGGAACAGTGTGTAGAAGAAGGCCATGTCCTCTGAAATTCAAACATGCTAGTCACCTTGTACCATCCTTTTTACCATTTATTTGGGTCTTGACTGAACCTTTCCATTTCCTTTGTTAGTCTCATTTAAATCCAGCATTAGAAGGGAACACTCCCAGACAGAGCCTCCTGGTCTGGCTCTTTTCTATAAGGGGTACATTTTAATGACTTCTAATGTCAGGGCTGAGGACCAACTGCAAGCTAGGGAAAATGGCTCCCATGTTAGGAAACAGAGGGTAAAAGGACTTTTGTGTGTCCATAGGGGTGCTATTTTGATGGTAGTTCTTTTTGCTTTGCCTCCAGTGGGCTATTAGTGGTGGATTAAGTAAGGCTTTTTGAGCTGAGTCCAGTGTCCAGTTTTTGTAGAATTCATGACTTTCTATTAGTTCTTTCAAGGCCCATATGGGACTTCTGTCCCACAGCAGAATAGATATAGCTGCAAAGTTGTATTATAATTTAAAGTACCATTTTCTGGCCAGGTTTGTTGGTCACCTAATTTACATAGTGGCCAGGGGGAGTTAAAAAGGGAAATGAGTTGTTTCTTCTTTGAAGTCCAGGGGTCAAACTGTCAGTTCTGCATTTCAAAGAGGATAGAAGAGAAATTGTGGCAGATGTCTCAATCCAAAGCAAAAGCAGGCATCCCAGCTTCTACTTCCTGACGCATGAAGAACTTTTCCTGAGTTCTTCCTTGGACATCAGAAATTTCACACTGTATCCCGTGGGTTATGTGCGCACAGGTTTCCAGGCTTAACAATTATGAAAGAACCCATGAATTTCCTTGGGCTTCTGGACTTTAGCCATGTAGCCTGTGGCTATCTGCTGCGTAACTCAGCTCTCCAATATTTGTATTCACTGTACAACTTGTCTCTGATGGTTTCTAATCCCTTTTGAAACTATCTTTTTTTCTGGCTGGACCTCCTTTTTTGATCCATAATTTGACCTGGAAATGTCTGCCTATTTAATGTGTAGTCTGTCTTAGCTGTTGTCAGTTCCCCTTTAAAGTTCTGGCCTGCTCGCTGAGATTGCCAGCTTGAGCAGGGCAAAAGCATTCGTCTACCCTTTTCTCCTTTTTCTGCAGCCAGCTGGGACTGGAAAAAAACGTTTGTATGCCTCTTGCATGTCTGCCTGGCATCTCCCTGGCACTGATCAGGTGCTCTGCCCAGGGGTAGAGCTTCTCCCTGGGTGTATCTCTCCACCTGCTAAATAGATGATCTCTCTCTCTCTATTCCTTCCTCTCTCTCCAATTTACACACACACACACACAAACACACACCCCCCCACACACACCCCTGGGAGGGGGAGGCTTTAACCTTGGGTGCTGGAATGGACGAGTAAGCTCCCTGTCTGAGCCAACCCAGTCACAATCAGACACTGCCAACGAGGGAGAGAGCATATATCTCTGTTACCCTCACCATCATGCAAGGACAAGCTGTCTAAGGCCACAGGAATAGGTCTGTTTGGGAACCATGTCTCATTAGCAGAGATCGATCCTGGTGTGTACCGGAGACCTTTATATAGGCACAACATTTGGTGTCATTTTATAACCTGGCAATGTATTTTATACAGTCTAAATTATATAAGTATTCTCTCTCTGAGTTGAGAGTCTTGGCCTCAAAGTCAAAAGACTGTTTAGAACTTTAAGGACTTCAGAGGTTCAAATCATTGGATTTAATAATCCATTCTTTAATAATCCATTTAACCATAGCATTTTCCATGTATATGATATATTTATTTCTTTGTACATTTTGACCAAATCAACCACTCTTATAAAATGAGAAATTTTGAAGATCAAAACATAATTATGAACATCAGACTGGATACCATACACATATACATTGATACAAGCATTAGTGGCAGGTTCAGATGTACAGGTAGAGATGTTGCGTCAAACGTTTGCTCTTTTTCCTGAAGATGTGCTTTCTAGCCAAAATTTGCAACAGAAGCAAATCTTTTCCCAATTAAAAATGTTTATACTTTTCAGAAGTAAGCCTCGTGTTAGGCTCACTAGGAGTTCCTAACATCTAGTTTCACATGTAATCTTCTCATTTGTAAAAGTTAAAAAATCAATTTTGGAAGAAACTTAAGGAATTTCCACAAATGTAATAGTGCTGGTGCTCTGCCAGCTCTAACACTAGGACAGGATTCTGTTTCCTGAGTCAGGACTACTCTGCTTTCTCTTAAGCTTCCACGCTGGATGCTCCAGCCTGACTCCAGGTGAGAGATTCTCTTGTCTAATGTGTGCTTCAAGGCAGTTTAGACTCAGTTTCACTGGGGCCAGTGTTCAAGTCTCACACTGATGAGACCTGGGCAGCGCCTCCTCCAGCCAGTGAAACCCTCTGTACTGGCTGCTGCAGTATATGTTAGGCTGAGAAGTTCTTGCCTTCTTTCCAAACAATTCTCATATTTTGTAAACAAAGGCCTGAAGACAAGCCATTGCTGGTGTTCTGTGCATCAGCCACTGATGCTTCCTCCCTTGGGTGTTTTCCTACCTTCCCCAGGAAAAGGATCTTGGGAAGAATTGGTCAATGTAGAACCTGGTAGAGCCGTGGGGAGGAAAATTAACCAACTCCACCCTTCTCAAGTCTTCATGGAATATCTTGCATGCACCAGGTTCCCACATGAGCACTAGTTTGTGCCCCAACTACTCCACTTCCTTTTCAGCTCCCTGCTTGTGGCCTAGGAAAGCAGTAGAAGAAGGCCCAAAGTCTTGGGACCCTATGCCCATATGGGAGACGTGGAGGATGCTCCTGCCTCCTAGCTTCAGATTAACTTAGCTCTTGCCATTGTAGCCACTTGGGAATGAACCAGCAAGTGGAAGATCTTTATCTGTTTAGATAAGGCTGCAAATTTTCCCTTTCTCTGTGGCTTCTCTGTCCACATTCCATTAATGCTAGCCTTTACCTCTTCTGGAACTCCTGAAAGTACCCAAACTGTTTTTAGATTGTGTCCATGGGAAGTCAGACGGCAAGCAGGTACTGGTGAGACCAAGAGTTGGAGTACAAGAACAATGGAGGCATGTGACCAAGAGAGAGCGAGCTAACCTTAGCATTTTGAACAAAATTATGGGCCAGGTCTATTCAGAGTTAAGATGACCATTCAAACATTAAAAACAGGCAGATAACATTAATTCCTATAAAGCTCAATTATTATAAGTAATCCAGGCTCAATAAAAGATGACAGAAAATAGTAGAAATCTTCCTCCAAGAATGTAAACATTTTCTTTACCAAGATCAGTCACAAAAATGAAACAGCTTTATGAAAAAGGTTTAGCTTGTGGCATCAGTATGTGAACCCAATACTTAGAGCAGTTAAATGTGCCATGGAACAGAGAGATAAAGAATCAAGTACTGTTGCTATCTGGAATTTTCAAATATAAGGACCTAATTTGTATTTAATTTTAAAAATACATCTTTTTGTTTTATTTGGAAGGAAGAGATGCAGAGGGAGGAGGAGATACACACAGAGAAATATCTTCCATCCTTTGATTCACTTCCCAGTGTCTACAACAGCCAGGACTGGGCCAGGCTGACTCCAGGAACCCGGAGCTTCCTCCAGGTCTTCCACCTGGGTCCAGAGGTCCAAGCATTTGGGCCATCTTCTATTCCTTTCCCAGATTCATTAGCGGGAGCAGAATTGGAAGTGGAGTAGTGAGGTCTTGAACCAGTACCCAGATGGAATGTCTGCATCAAAGGCAAAAGCTTAATCTGGTACAGCAGCACAACACCAGCCTCAGGAGCTAACTTTAAAATGATTCCTAATGTTATACATCCTAATCTCACATGCCATTCAAATTTGAGAAATCTACAAAATATTTATCCCTTTACTTTTTCAATCAAATTTTTTTTTCTTTTTCAGCATTAATCATTAAGAACACATTTTCATGTTTGTAGCTTCCTCCACAACTTCCTTTTCTACCTACTGACTCCTGCAGGTCACATCCTAAAGTGATCCTCAACACTCATAAATTAACAGAAAAACATGTTTTGAAAGAACATATAGGATGTTAACCAATAATTACTCTAGAGCAGTTTTTTAATTTTGGTGTCATTAAATAGGAAATTGGCATTTTTTTATACAATTATACTTTACTAATGTGTTGCAAACCCTAGAAATCTCAGGTAAAGCTTTAAAGAAGACCAAACTTTTAAGTGTAGAATCAACAAAATTTAAGTTCGG